CCCCCTCCTCTTTTCTGAACATAGATGGACTCGTCCATCCAAACAAACTGTCAAATCGCTATCCGTGGTGCTAACGTTTAAACATAAATAAATTATTACAGACCGCCACTTCTTTCAAATGTTCTTGCCGTTGGTTTTCACACCTGATGATGACTGTTTGTGTTGCAGTCGAAACGTCGTGAGAATTTTATTGTTTTATATATTTTTTATTATTTTATTTTTTCCCTTCAACGTGACTTTACCGAAAGAACCAAGAGTATGAATCACTGCAGTCATGAAAGCTTTAGATCAAAATTGTAGAAACTGTGTTGTATCAATGGGCTATTGCTTTTGTTAAGATACAAAATACATCAATTAATTAATTTCGATTCACGGCCACGGTTAACATCAGTGGTCAGTGATATCTGAACCTGTACTGATCCCAATTGCCCTCCTCCCGCCTTCACCGCATTGACCAGCGTGGCGAAGCATGGCCAAACAACCGCCAAGATTAACATGGAGGAGGTCTTAGCCCGGTAGTGGATTACCAAAGGGCTTTAAATAAAACAAATTATCCAAATGTACTGGTAGAGGAGAACCCGTGGCTCTGCAATGGAAAACAAGAGACCGTTGCAGTTGTCATCTCTTCTCACAATCCTTCCGTGCTCGGGGGCATCTCTAATTAATCCGCGTTTTTAACGTAATCAAATGGCAAGATAATACGTTGTTGTGAGTATTTTTTGTGTGTTTACAGTATTCTCTAGGGTTTAAAAAAGAAACTATTCTGGAAAAATAACGACATGAATACGAGCACACATTTCACATTTACAGCAATTTTAAATGAACCGTATCAGTATTCCCTATTTGTCACTCTTTCGGTGTCGCTATTTATTATGAGTCTTCCAAACTTATTCCTCTGCTTCAACAGCTCTTTCTCACAGATGTCCAGTAAGTTTCAGTAGCAACTGCTCGTTGCCACTAACAATTGAATTATTGTTGAGGTGGACAGGAGCCCAGCCAGCAGCCAGCCAGGAAACTCGAGGCATAGATGATGTTTATTGTACTGGAGTACGATTTAAATTTAACGTGAACGAGTATCATGTGGCTTGTTGCATGCATTATTTTGGGACAAGATTTAGGGACGATCTTCGTGATATGTAATTATGGCTTGAAGGTGCACCCTTGTCTTTAAACAATAATAATCGCAGACCAGGTGGCTCTTCGGAGAGAACGCTGAGCTGGCACCAGTGAGAACCTTGGTTCGAATCCAGGCAGCTGTGTTGCTAAACTGGGTTTTCAAGTGTTGTCAGTTTATGATCTTAGCCCGGTCACCAGTGGCTGAACACAACAATAACCCGATTACAATAAATTTAGTTCGGCACTTAATTCGGAGACGTTCCAGGTCTGAAGATTAAAACGAGAATGAGTTCGACTGCCATGCTACGAGCCCAACTCTCGGTCGAAGGGCGAGTGTGAGAGTGCTGCCCCCTAGTGTGCAGACAGAGGTCATTTTGAAGGGCTCTCAGATGTCGCTCCGTGGTGCTCGCTGCCGTGGGCCGTTCTCTCGCACGAATGGGGTTGCATGTCTCTACGAGACATCCAAACTGATTCTTTGTCTCGGGACGCGTGACGCCGATAGTACAATCATGGAGAGAGAGGGAAAAAACCCTCAAAATTATTTAAAACTTTATCAAATACCTGCCAAGTGTAAAGAAACAAGAGCTGACTTTTGACATTGATTTCAACTTGGATATATTATTATATATCACGATCTGAGGTGCTACACTGGACAAGGACTTTCTCTATGGAATTCAATACTTTTGGAAAAAACCGGGATTTTTTTCCCCAAACACCGCGAGTTTTTGACAAGGTTGCCTGTTACAAAGAATAACTACTCTGAGCCGAGTTTATTGTCTTAAATGATCGTGAAGATGGAGTAATATGACAAATAGCTATAATATTTATGTATATTGCATTTGTACTCAATACACGTTGGTTGTGGAGTATCTCGCCAAAAAACATGTTCTTGGCATGCAAATTACAACTGCGATTATCTAAAATCACAGGGGAATTAACATTTCAGTAATAACGCCAAGGAAATGTTTGACATTACAATTCAGGAGCCAATAAACAAACTGCCTATGCATTTGTGTATACGTGTGTGTGCGGTGTGCGGTGTGCGTGTGGTGAGCACGCTCCCCTATGAACTCGGCCAGCCGAGTTCCAATCCCCCTTATAACCAAAAACAGTGGTGAATACGTAAACCAGTTCTGGGCCTCTCCTAGGTCGGCTCAGCCTTACACGAGTCCCTGGCGCCGTGTATAAAAACACCGAGACTGGAGAGGCAAAGGCGGCCGGGCGTGTCAGCCTTAATACATGCTCGCTAATAAGCACTGGTCCTGACAGTCTTACAAGTGTCGACAGGGGATCTTATGTCTCTGTAGTGTATGTGCGTTGGCCGTCAAGTGCTTCTGCGCTATTGCCGTATTCTATGGATTATAAGACGCTCCCGAAAGTAAGATGCATCCTAAACTTGTGACCGGCATCAATAAAGTTATACAAATCGATTCTCTCACACACACACTAAACAATTGTATTCTACAAGGTAAAAACCCACTGGGCTATAAGCTCTTTTTCAGAGGCTATCTGGCCACGCGTGGTAGCGCATCGAAGTGGCTGATATCACCACCATCACACGTGGGGATGTGTAGTCGCAACCGATGAATACAAACGCATGTTTCTAAATGTGGGGGGCTAATTCGGAGCACACGGAAATAAAATCCACGCAACCACGGGGAGAGAGAGAGAGAGAACACGCGAACTCCAAACATACAACAGGCATCGTCAGAGTCGGCAACGAAGCCCACGAACCTCCTGCGGAGCAGGCGAAGGGAGACAACGTGAGAAATAGCCGCACGCCCAACCTTGTTAACGTTAAGATACAGCAGGGTAGAGGTGGCGGGGTGGGATGCGTCTTTTGATCCGGGCAATACGGTACCTCCTGTGGGTGGCACGAGAATATAAAGCGCCTCGAGAGAGCACAGAGCAGCCACGGCGAGTGAACACGGCTCCCTCCACACAGCGGGAGACGCGTCTCGACCAACACGGCTGCTTCTCCATTGATTGGGCTCGCGAACGCGCGTCTATGCGGTCAGGAAAGCTTTTTGTTTGATTTAATTTTATTTCTACCTACGTGACTTTACCGAAAGAACCAAAGAGTATGGATTCCTGCAGTCACGAAAGCTTCAAATCAAGATAATCGACGAAATACGTATACGAACATTTAAGGGCCCTTGCCCCGAAACGTTTTTACAAGGCAGTGAAAAAACATCACCACCACCAATGTGGTGGTGATGTTTTTTTTTAAACAATACGATATATATATTATTTTAATCGTAAGGCAGAATGTATTAAGTCCATGCAGCTATAACGAGTAATTTGAAGGATATAGTTGGCACAGGTGCAAGAATTAGCGAGGGTGCAGAATGATCACAGACAATTATCCAGACATGAATGACGTTTTGCAGTCAGTTGCAGGGTAAGATTAATTGGTAAGCAACTCGGCAAGAGAAGACAAAAACAATAATGCACGATTTTGTAGAGTGGAACGACAGGGCAACAGCAAGATACCTAACAACACCTCCACAACCACAACGACTACAATTGTTGTAACCGGCAATCTCTGTACGAAATCAACAGAAGTGTTTGAACACACAATTAGTTTAAGACGTGCAAATAATTGATGATAGTCTACAAAATAAATAGGATGAAATATTATTGTAATCACAAACAATAGCAGATTAGCAGCAGTGGAATATTAATAACAGAAATCGTAATCTAAGAACGATCGGCATAAGAATATACGTTGGCGTTAGCAATTACAACAGACGGGCAATTATTGTAGTTGAATTCTCATTTTAAAAATCATAGTTTTATATGTTTCAATCTATGTAGCGTCATTCATACAAATTGCCGAATTAGCTAATACTCTAATAGTGCTGACAGTAGTTCAATAAGAACAGTCTTTGGAATTATCAGCCACAGCAGAAAAAAACGAATGAGCAGCAGATGAATAATATCCTGATAATATAATTACAATTAGCAGTCTTGCCGTATGAGTAGCATTGCGAATGTGGACTAATACTACCGGTATTCAACTAATGGTCATTTCATAATAATTTAATAAAAAATACAAATTAGCAGTAAGTGCACATCGCTACACTACTTATGCTAGCCTGACACACCACTCTCAATAATTAGCCTCCGATTACTTTAGTACTAGCGTATGTCTGCTACGAGTGCACGACCAATAACAATCATCAGCTGAAGACGATGAATACTACTCTTCTACTATTGTGAATTGATTATAAAAATTTGAACACTACAATCTAAAATGAATTATAAGGCACAACTCTAAAAAAACGAATAGATTATACTCCACTTGATGGCCTATATAACCAGTCTACCACTTGCCTTCTAATAATAATAATGGACTCGTCATAATTATCAATTGAATTCTATCAATACAGTATCTGTACACAACTCTTCCCAAGAGACTATCCTACTAATATCGCCATCATTATCATCATCAGTCAGTCGAAGCAATATTAACTACCAGCACCACTCATAGATTCAGCGCAATCGTATTCAACGATCGACTCCCACAGCAGAATAATCATCATCAGCCGACTTTAGTACACAAGTCGCCTTCATAAACCTACCACAAGTCTCATCACCATCATCAGTGGAAGCAACACCAAGGACAAAGACGTGTAACAGACTGTAGGGGCAAGTGCTGTTAGCGAGCACCTATGAAGGCCGGCACGGCACACGAGGGGGTTGGTGGCCAACACCACGCCCGGCCGTCTTTGTCTTCTCAGTGGTGATGTTTAGACACCGCACCAGGTACACATTTGAGGCTGAATCGACCATCGGGGAGGCCGATGACCGGTTCGGATAATCGTCACCGCCGTTGGCCGTGAGCGGCAATCAAACTCGGGTCGCCCGCCGGGTTCGCAGAGCAGCGCTCTAACCGCTCAACAACCACAACAACAACCACGACAACAACAACAACCACAACAACCACCACACACTCCTCGCTGCACCGACCGAAAGGAGCATGAAGCGACGACCGTGGCGGGCAGCCGTCCCGTCGGACGAGGCGTCGGGCGCCCGTGCGCTCGCGGACGCCACGCGTCGGGGCCAGGTGCGCGCTGCGCGCTTCGTCCTGGACGCCCTCGACGGGCGGCCCGTGAACGCGCGCGGTCCCGAGGGCCACACGCCGCTCATGCTCGCCGCCCTGCTGCCGGACGCCGCGGCCAGCGCCGCCCTCGTGGAGCTGCTGCTGCGGCGAGGAGCCGACCCGGCGCTCGAGGACCGCTGGGGCGACAGCGCCCTGGTGCAGGCAGCGGCGGCCGGCAACGCGGGGGTGCTGAGGAGCCTCGTGCGCGCGTTCGACCGTCGCGGAATCGACGTTCACCGACCCAACCGCGATGGGCATTCGGCGCTGCAGGTGACGCGATGGGAGTTGCCTGGGCACCGGGTGTGCGTGGGCAGCGGTGTCGCGGTTAAAGCCTCCACGGGGGGTCTTTGTCTCACTTCTGGCGATGCGCGTTCTGCCCCAGGCCAAGTTCATTCAGCCAAGATGATGCCTGAAAAAATTTGGGTTGTGCCCGTAATCAAGCTTTTCCCTTTCTGTCTCTCGGAGCAATTCCAAGCATGCTTCTCTCTAAGCTTTTTTCTCTCGAATTTTTCAGCTTTTGTTCCATTTCATTTGTGAGCGACCGTGTTTTTGATTAACGCCGGACAACTGATGGCAGCCTGAATCAACATACAGTGAGGGAAAAAAGTATTTGATCCCCTGCTGATTTTGTACGTTTGCCCACTGACAAAGAAATGATCAGTCTATAATTTTAATGGTAGGTTTATTTGAACAGTGAGAGACAGAATAACAACATCAAAAATCCAGAAAAATGCGTGTCAAAAATGTTATAAATTGATTTGCATTTAAATGAGGGAAATAAGTATTTGACCCCTCTGCAAAACATGACATAGTACTTGGTGGCAAAACCCTTGTTGGTAATCACAGAGGTCAGACGTTTCTTGTAGTTGGCCACCAGGTTTGCACACATCTCAGGAGGGATTTTGTCCCACTCTTCTTTGCAGATCTTCTCCAAGTCATTAAGGTTTCGAGGCTGACGTTTGGCAACTCGAACCTTCAGCTCCCTCTACAGATTGTCTATGTGATTTAGGTCTGGAGACTGGCTAGGCCACTCCAGGACCTTAATGTGCTTCTTCTTGAGCCACTCCTTTGTTGCCTTGGCCGTGTGTTTTGGGTCATTGTCATGCTGGAATACCCATCCACGACCCATTTTCAATGCCCTGGCTGAGGGAAGGAGGTTCTCACTCAAGATTTGACGGTACATAGCCCCGTCCATCGTCCCTTTGATGCGGTGAAGTTGTCCTGTCCCCTTAGCAGAAAAACACCCCCAAAGCATAATGTTTTCACCTCTATGTTTGATGGTGGGGATGGTGTTCTTGGGGTCATAGGCAGCATTCCTCCTCCTCCAAACACGGCGAGTTGAGTTAATGCCAAAGAGCTCCATTTTAGTCTCATCTGACCACAACACTTTCACCCAGTTGTCCTCTGAATTTTGCAGATGTTCATTGGTAAACTTCAGACGGGCATGTATTTGTACTTTCTTGAGCAAGGGGACCTTGCGGGTGCTGCAGGATTTCAGTCCTTCACGGCGTAGTGTGCTACCAATTGTTTTCTTGGTGACTATGGTCCCAGCTGCCTTGAGATCATTGACAGGATCCTCCCGTGTATTTCTTAGCTGATTCCTCACCGTTCTCATGATCATTGCAACTCCACGAGGTGAGATCTTGCATGGAGCCCCAGGCCGAGGGAGATTGACAGTTCTTTTGTGTTTCTTCCATTTGCGAATAATCGCACCAACTGTTGTCACCTTCTCACCAAGCTGCTTGGCAATGGTCTTGTAGCCCATTCCAGCCTTGTGTAGGTCTACAATCTTGTCCCTGACATCCTTGGAGAGCTCTTTGGTCTTGGCCATGGTGGAGAATTTGGAATCTGATTGATTGCTTCTGTGGACAGGTGTCTTTTATACAGGTAACAAGCTGAGATTAGGATTAGGAGCACTCTTTAAGAGTGTGCTCCTAATCTCAGCTCGTTACCTGTATAAAAGACACCTGGGAGCCAGAAATCTTTCTGATTGAGAGGGGGTCAAATACTTATTTGTTATTTCCCTCATTAAAATGCAAATCAATTTATAAAAATTTTTACATCGTTTTTCTGGATTTTTGTTGTTGTTATTCTGTCTCTCACTGTTCAAATAAACCTACCATTAAAATTATAGACTGATCATTTCTTTGTCAGTGGGAAAACGTACAAAATCAGCAGGGGATCAAATACTTTTTTCCCTCACTGTAATTGAAAACCTCTTCTACAAGCGCAATCGGCATGCATCATCGCCATGAAATAATATAGCATTTAAGTCCATGAGCTCATTACATAAGTTCATGGCTCATTCGTGAATACTTGCATCTGGAAACTCCATCTAGAAGCAGGAGAACCACAGGCGACATGACTTTGATTCCCAACCACGGCCAGGGGCGGAGCCACAGGGGGGGCTGGTGGGGGGGGGGGGCTGGTTGGGCTCAGCCCCCCCTGAAATTTTGGGAAGTCGGTAATCGGGATAGCCGGATATCCGGCTGCTGCAAAATGCTGCAGGCTGCCACCTTGTGCTGCCCTGCAGGCTGCTTGAGCGGCAGCCTTTCGAACTTATCGAACTTATTAGCCACATCAGCGGCTCCGACCTATTAATAAACTCCGCGTTCAAATCCAATCAAATTTGTTTTATACATTTGTGGCGCCCATTGGAAAACATTACTCTGGATATCTCAGAATATTGTAGTCAACCCCGCCAAAGTCAAAATCCTGGCTCCGCCCCTGACCACGGCTAACATCGGTGGCGAGTGATATTTAAACTCTCACCTACCTCTTCTTCACTAACCCGAACTGAGCAGCGTGAAGACGTTCATCCAGCAGTGTGTTGATTAAGGGCTGTCAGTGTGACATTGGACTAAAACAGTGCTTCTTAAACGTCACTGCAGCCTTGCACCCCCTTTGGTTATCAATCCTAATACAAAGTATAATGTTAATACATACATGGGTTTGATGAAACAAATTAGTTGCACTTCATTTGTGTTACGATGATTCACCTAAAACAATCTGACCGTATCTCGCACCCCCAGGTTAAGAACCATTGGACTAAAGGAACAAAAATAACCGTACAAACGAGGAACAGTACAAAAGAGACGGTTTGAAAGCCGATATAAAATAATCGATTCTCAAACACCATGTTGATTATATGCTTCGTGACGTTTAATCGAATCTTTTGCGGGGAAGCATCGTTACATGCCTGTGATACTCATACAATACACGGCACAACGAGCATAACAAATATACTTCGACGTCGCTCTGTAAACCCACTTTGGGAGGAGGGCCTCCCCACGTGGGAGTTATGTGACTATACTTCACCAATCTGGCTCAGTGCGGGGCGATGGTGAGGCATAACCACAGAGACGTGGGACCACACGGGTACGTGTACTGTAAAACAATTGCTTTTGCTGCACCGCCCTCTGCTGCCCACCACGTCACCCCGAAAGCCTGTAACACCTGTTATGCATGCACGGCGGTCGCCTTCAGCGAGTACTTAAGTAAATACTCCTGAGAGAATTGCCCTTTGCGTTTACGAATCCACCCATCCCTCGGCCCCATCAGGTGGCTCGCTGGCTGGGGCACCACGACTGCGTGGCGGTGCTGTCCGCATGCGGTGGGTCCAGAAGCCACGTGGAGCCCGCGACACAAGTCGATGCACCGCCGCCTCCTGCTGATGGGCGATGGACAACCGCGCTGTCAGCCGACGGGCCGCATTTCAAGGTCGCGAGACCGGCACGCTGCTACGGGACCCCTTGCCGGGCTCCGTTACCAGACGTCTTGGAGGAACCACTGTCAACATCGTTTTTTACGCCGCAGACATCAGCAACATCATCATCAGCAGCAGATTATTGCCCAACAACAACAACATCATCATCACCAGATGCTCGATGCGGAAACCCCCGTGCCGCGTCGCGACTCTCAATCTTGCGCCAGCGGCTGAACTCGATGGACTCCATCGAGGAGGAGTTTGACGGCGACGACACGCCGACCGGCTCGTGCGGAGAACCCGTCCCGAAGGCCGCGGAGTCCCAGAGCGTCCCCAGGGTCCACGACAACCGCCGTAGCTTCTTGCCCCCGGTGGCTGTTCCCGGAGACGCCTCGAAGCCGCCGGCCGCGATGGAGCCGCTCGGTGCGAGGTCGCAGATAGAGGACCACCCACCCTCCAGGTCTCGCCGCAGCTTGCCGGAGGTGCTTCTCCACGGAGAGCAGGCATCGTCGCTCAAGGCCAGCAAGAACGTCGGGCAGCTGCGGCTGCAATTCAGCAACTGCCAGGTGGACGACGGCGTGCGGAGATTCAACGACTGCTACTACCAGAAGCGGAGCAGCCTGCCCTGCAGTAGTAGCCCGCTGGCGGTGGCCGCACCGGCCGACAAGCTCCTGCCGCTACGCAAGGGTAAGAGCCCGGCCACGTTGCTCAACGCGAGGGCGTCTCCCTTGCACGCGCTGGGCACCCGGCTGCTCCGTCGCTTCACGGCACCGGAGTTCGCGAGGCGAGGCGTCGTGCAGGCGCCGGGGGCTTGCGAGCAAAGGGAGCTGGAAGAGGAGGCCACGCCGGGCACGAGCCGCTGCGAGGCCTCGTGCCCGGTGTCTCGCCACAAGCAGCAGGTCAGCAGCCAGCCCAGCGTGGACAGCATCAGCGGCGTGAAGTGTGAGTTTGACTTCCAGTCCGTGAAGAACTCGAAAGAACCGTGACTTGGTAAAGGGTAACACTGTGAAACGTCCACTGCTTCTGTTTTGGTGATCGCCTCTTAGTTTCATAGATGGCCGCAACGGAGTGTATTAAACTGTGAAAGTGCTGTTTAGTGTAAGCCTCGCCTTTTGGTACCCCTATTAGCGTTACGTCTTCGAAAAGTAGAATTGTCCAACTACTGTAGAAGTATAATATACAATGAACGGGTTTGTATCAATTTTCATATTAGCTGAGCACCCAGTGAATTATTTCGTAGATTCATGTTTTTCTCCACGGTGTGTTGTCACGTCTCGATGTACTTGTAAATCCACAGCTGTTTGAGGGGCTCCCCACGCTGTATGAGTCGCTGTGTGGAGTTGAATGAGCATCCTTCACTCCGCCGGTCAGTGTGGATTCGTCAAGGTGGGGAACGTGGACGTAGTAGGCGCACAGTACAGCGCAATTATTGGGCCACGTGGTCATTTTATGCCCAAAACGATTGTCATTATATTTAGAATCAGAATCTCTATTTATCCAAGATAATTCCAATGAGCTATGAAGCTCTTTTTTCCACACGTGTCTAGTGTTTAACCCTCCATCCCCCGACAACATTATCACGTTTATTCAGATATGAGTTTTTTTATCGATACGTGCCAATGTGTTGATGACACTCTGACCAATAAAGCTCCTCAACGGAGGCTTAAGTCTTTCGATGACTGAATTTAACATCAACACACGGCAGCATTCACTTCATTGCTCTGTGCTTTTTCAGTTCAATGTTCTGCACTGCCCCCTGCTGGCTTGCACGCAGTCCAGCTCTGGAGACCACAAAAGTGCCCACGCGTATGGCAATGCGGGCCCGAATGACAACTGTGCACAGAGAGACGAGTACTCGGACAAATGATGTTGCATTCAGAGCGAGGTGGGAGGCCTTTCACGACTGAAGAATACACGTGCATTCGGAGAAGACGTACACGGAGGGTGAAGAAGCAGCGAAGCGTGTATTTACGGCGGAGTCACGCAGGATGTGAACGAGATATGACAAAGGCAGCGGTTGTCCTGCCCGAGTAATATCGAGGAGCGAGCAACGTGAAATTGAAAGTACACCACACCGAACACACAATCACGACGCTCAACACACACTTCGCGCCCGAAAGGTTCCCGATTATTTACCCGATAAACGATGAACGATCCAGCACTGTTCCTTCTGACTCGAGTCTCTTTATTATCTCTGCACGGCCTGCCTGCTAGTCACAATGTTCCTGCCTGCGAGTGACAATGTTCCTGCCTGCTAGTCACAATGTTCCTGCCTGCTAGTCACAATGTTCCTGCCTGCTAGTCACAATGTTCCTGCCTGCGAGTCACAATGTTCCTGCCTGCTAGTCACAATGTTCCTGCCTGCTAGTCACAATGTTCCTGCCTGCGAGTCACAATGTTCCTGCCTGCTAGTCACAATGTTCCTGCCTGCTAGTCACAATGTTCCTGCCTGCGAGTGACAATGTTCCTGCCTGCTAGTCACAATGTTCCCGCCTGCTAGTCACAATGTTCCTGCCTGCGAGTGACAATGTTCCTGCCTGCTAGTCACAATGTTCCCGCCTGCTAGTCACAATGTTCCTGCCTGCTAGTCACAATGTTCCTGCCTGCGAGTGACAATGTTCCTGCCTGCTAGTCACAATGTTCCCGCCTGCTAGTCACAATGTTCCTGCCTGCTAGTCACAATGTTCCTCCCTGCGAGTGACAATGTTCCTGCCTGCGAGTCACAATGTTCCTGCCTGCTAGTCACAATGTTCCTGCCTGCTAGTCACAATGTTCCTGCCTGCTAGTCACAATGTTCCTGCCTGCTAGTCACAATGTTCCTGCATGCTAGTCACAATGTTCCTGCCTGCTAGTCGGAGTAAGGCAATGCTGGGCGCGCTCGGCTTGTCCTCCGAGTTTCTCACAACACAAGCAGACTGCTGGTGTTGCGATCGAAACGTCGTACTTTTTTTTGTTATTTTCTTTGAACCTATCAACCTGACTTTACCGAAAGACCCAAAGAATATGAATTCCTGCAGTCACGAAAGCTTTAAGTCAAGATTTGTCAGATTTACTGCAATACACCTGTCCTTGGACGGGCTATAAGCTAGTTACTATTAATTTCAGAATTATTGATCATGAGAGAACACTTTTTCACGTTTTTTTTTGGCAAACGGTTAAAACAGTTATGCTCATTGCTTGTGTTGCAATCGAAACGTCGTGATTTTTTTTAATGTTTCACCTACGTGACTTTACCGAAAGAACCAAAGAGTACGGTTATGCTCATGTGAGTAGATTCTGGTATAATTGCTCAACAACTTGCAAACTTTATTTTAAAGTTCATCCTTATTATTTTTAACCACCACTTTTATAATAATAAAATCGCATTTCATTTTAAGTTATTTTTTTTACTACATTTGGTATGAACTTTTCCCCCCAAAAATGAAATCACTCATCGCCTTGCAAAATGTATACTCACATTATATACCCACCAGTTAAAACGTGTTGAATCCTGCAAACGTAAACCAACCGGTCCCCCATTCAATCCCATTAACGGTATTAGCACTACAATTCACAGCCCTTTGTACATCCGCTGCTGGATAGACTCCCCACTCCGTATCCTAACACTAGAACCCGATACGTCGATTGCACCAGATAGTCAGTGCAGGTGCAGAGTGGACGTGATGTGTGGCACATGGGAACAATATGACATCACGAGTGTTGTGAGCTTTTTTGTTAGTTTCTTTGAACCTATCTACGTGACTTTACCGAAAGGCCCAAAGAATATGAATTCCTGCAGTCACGAAAGCTTTAAATCAAGATTACACGAGTGGTGTTCTTAAAAAAAACAGGCGTAAAATAATAGTACGTGAATTGGCATGGTTTCTCCCACTAATTAAATAAAAAAAATTGAGATATATTTCAGTCAGTCATTCCAACTCAACTCGGAAAATAACAAGAAATATACACCTACATCACTCTCCGCAAAACCAAAAATGATAACGAAGAACATAAATATAAAAAATCGATTGAATAATAAATTTCACGAAAAAAATAGCATTTTCAGGGAACTCACAAATCGCTCTGAGCTGTCAAGGCGACGTGGAGGCGTTCCTGCTCCACGGGTGGGTGACGCAGCCGCCCGGGGTGTTTCTTGTTTGACCTCGTGTGGCGCCGTGCCACGTGACGTTTCGTTCACGAGGAAATTCGATTTCGTTCATCGCAAAAGTGCCAATAATATGTAATGTTGCGTTAACGCTAAATCTTTATAAGCCAAACGTTTGTAAATCGAGGGATACCTGTGCTCGTATATACAATTTAACATCTCAATATAAAAATAAGCGGACATTTGTAGTTGTGTATTATAATCAACTAGCTTGTTTGGCCGTCCAAGGACGGGTGTGTATTGCAGTAAATCTGACATTCAACAGAAAAATTGTTCAGCTCATGATTATTAATAGGGGGGGGGGGGGGGGCTTGCCCCATGTGGAGTGACGTCACCCGCTAATGGTTATTGGGGAGGGGTGCGGCATGTGGAGTGACGTCACGTGTGGGACACACATTCTTGGCTTATATTAGGAATGAAGCTACAACAAAGAGCTTAATTAAGGCACCTTTAGGACTTGTGTTAATTCCCCAGGCTCAGAGCTAATTTATCAAGTGGCATAGCCAGCTAATGACGGCAAATGAAGCAAGATTGAACAAGCAGTGTCATGCAGTGACAAAATGTTCATGTTTAATCGTCAGTGATTTTTAAATATCACGCTGCATTTGCAACCCGTTAAAAGCATGGATGTCTGTAAAATCAAGCAAGGAATGCGCAAAGGATCTATTGTTTTTTTTACAAGATACTGACAGTACAGTATACATCTATTGCACTCACTGTCCCTATCAATACATTGGAGACTGCAACCACCGCGTGGCAGTTTGAACAATTACACCAGCAGTCTGTGCCAGAATGACGCCCTCACTCAATTGTTTCAACTGATTCCATTTCAAGAGGGTCATTCACACCTCGGAATGTTTGGCCAATTCTCTTAATGAGTGTTTCGCCATGTGGGAAGAAAGTGGAGTTTGCTGGAGGAAGCCCCTGTTGCCTGTATATTTGGACTTTCCATGTTCTCCAATTGGTCGCGTAGATTTTTTTTTCCGGGTCCTCCGGTTTTTCCCTCCGCATTTAGAAACATGCATTGAGATCATTTGGATATGTTGGTGCTATAAATGTCCAAATGATGGGCCACTTGGTTGAGCTATCTATGAAAAAGCTGTATAGCTCATCCGATTCTTCCAGTATAAATATTCCGATTCTGCACTGTAAAGACAGATTCCATGAACTGCTGTACTGCGATCTCTTCTGCCCACCATTGCAACCCTTAGCCTGCATCATTTCCAGACTCTTATCAAAGAACCAGGCTCACACCTATTTCGGAGATCGAATCGCCCTATATCGAATCTGAAACTTTCAAGCGAAAAGCAGACCGCGACGTGATATTCATTGCATCCATTCGTGTGCACTTTGTAAGGGCGCGGTGACAGACTTATTTCATTTACAGGTTATAATCCCTTGTTCATCATGACGTCCTTTTTACTTCTATGTCTCAACAACGTTACGGAGATCACGTGACGTGAGGGTTCTGCCTTTGTAGTGAGGGTTGTAAGTTGACGCAGAGAGGGGAGGAGGCGCCTTGGCCCCCCATGTGGAGTGACGTCACCCGCTAATTTGTATTGATGGTGGGGGGGGGGTCCATTTAGAGGACGTCACCTTTTCATGATTATTAATGGACCTGCTCGATGTGGAATGACGTCACCTGCTAATGATTATTAATGAGGGGGGGGGGTCAATGTGGAGGACGTCACCTGTTCATGATTATTAATGAGGGGGGCTGGCCGCCGTAGAGTGACGTCACACGCAGGACACAGATATTCTTGGCTCATTATGGTTGTAAATTTGAAAATCGGCCAAATACAGCAGTAGGATTTCGTAGTGCGTATCGTCACAGAATGAAATGTCTCCCGAACGCCGTGTGAGTAGTGGAGTTTTCCCACAATGTGCTGCCAGGCTGGGCACAAAGGCAGAAACTAAATATACATTGTTGGCACTCGGGAGAAAATTGCGAGTGTGTTAATTCATACGTGTGATAATACACAAGAGTCAATGGGTACGTTTTTCATTGCAATTGAACAAAATCAAGTCACAAGCACAGTGGGGGAAAGAGGTGTAACGACACTGGACCTCGGAATATATTTCAAACTTCATTTGCTACCAAATGTCAAAAAAACATGTTTCTGCTCGTAAAAAGCAATTAACTTTGTGAAACTGTAGACGTCCATTAACAGCTGAGGTTTCAACAAACGTATACATATACGCGACTCCAAAGCTTATCCCCCGATGACTTATTCTGGTCACTGGGGTATGTGGTCAAATCCAATCGGGATTACTTGCAGTACCAAACATTATACAACGGGGAAGTGTTGTACGATGTTTGTGTAATGTCGTGGTTCGACATGTGTACCGACTGAAGGGATTACAGTAATTTAATAATTCATAATTATTTAATTTAAACTTATAATTAAAATTGTGTTCTTGTAATATTCAAATATGAACGGTAATCCATTGCTTTAAAGGAAACCGTTTCCATTACGTTCGACTGTACCAAGTTAAAGCGAGTTTTAACCTCAATACTAGATGTTTAAAAGTCAAGGTAAATTTAATTTCAGCAACCAATGGGCATTCTGAATTAATATTTTAAAAAAATGTAAATGCCAATTAATTAACCTTAATTTAATGTTTAATCCATTACAACCATAAATTCACCCAATGGGCATATTTTGTAGTTTAGCTCATTTAGATCAAACCTGTGTATGCAACTTATCACATACTTAAATGAAATGCAGGTCTTGAAAACAATGCTTGTAAATCAACCGATGTTTTATTTTTGAATGAATGTTGCAGTCATATTAACTGTGAAACTATTAACACCTAGCAGATATCCTCAGTAATGGTAATCCCAGAATGTTTAAATCCACGAGCCAAAATGGTGAAACTCTCACTGATGGGCGTTTTGTTCAACTGCTCCTAGGTAAATAGCAAGGACAACTTGATCTATGAAACCTAATACAGCAAAAAAGCAAGTGGCAACAAAGACTGCAGGTGTCTTCATATAAAGGAATTGTCAAAAAAACACAAGGCAAAAGCAGGTATCACGTTACCTTTTCCAATAATTAAAAAAATTTGTGAAGCGTTCCAGTCTCAAAATGAAAAAGTTAACAGTACTCCCCAATAAGAAACTGTACAATCGGGTAGTGCAGTAAAATAATGACAAAAGACTAACATTACAGTACAATGTACAGTTGTTACACCAAAATGTCTGTACATAAACATTTGCTTTTCAAGAATCAGAAACGTGAACCTGACAAGGCTGCCAGATTCAATCGTTTGGTTGACAAATACGTTGTCTTGCATTTTGCTTGAAGTTAAAATAACACGTTTCAATATTTCACCTTTTAAACCTGCAGCAAGTGACATTTATAAACCCAGTGTGATGTGAAAAAAAAGTGTCCATAACAGAAGTTGGTCCCCAAAACCATAATTGTTTTGATAAAAAAAATCAGGGAAATAAATATCACGTTGGGCTGCAAGTGATTTACCGTACCTATTCAAGATTTTTGTGGGAAAATAATAAAAGTTAACCTGCAAAGAGAATTGTAAAATATAGTACCTGTTGCACTACCATCTGAAAATTCAGATTATAAAATCGTGAACAATGCTGCAAAATAGGTTATTTGGGAGGGGAGAAATTGTCCACTCATCAACTGTTAGCTGCATATTATAAAGTTGGTGTGAAAAATGTTCACAATCACTTACCAGTTAACGCAACCATTTCTGGCACGTTGGACAAAAAAATATTCCCAGATCCTTAATCTCCCATATTTATAATCAAATGTAAGTGCTTAATTTTAATATATTTACAAAATATAAAAGTAAATAAAGGATCCATTACTTGAAAGGCCTTTAATTTTTACTTAAACCAGCAAGTATTTTTTCAATTTCAGTGAATACGACTAATAACATTCAGATTTTAGGCAGGAAAAAAAATCAGTTGACAAGGATGCACATTACACAGGTTTTTCAGTAGTTCGTACACTTTGATATGTCACCGATGAAATGTACACACCATACTCTAATAATAAGGAAGACAAACTTCTACAATAAATTTTGTACAGAGGCATGCTATAAAAAAAAAGAGTGATAGTTTAGCCCACTCATGTAACCAACATTGGTGGACTGTTGATGTAGCTATGTAAAGGTGTCGTACCAATCTTCCCCATGATAGGATTCATTCACGCTTAAAAACATTTGAAAACAACAAAAATCCCCGACACAATCCACATGGGAGATGAAAAGGTGCATAAGCAAAGCAGGAATTATTGTGCAAAGGTAATTAGCAATCTTTTAAAGTATCGCTTTTGTCAGCGTCCTCTATGCTGTCGCATAAGTGGAATCACACAGGACGGTGGCCCTGCGTTCTGGAGGAACGGGTGCCCAAGGAGCTCCACTGCAGAAGCACGCTGCGTGGGATCCCGCACGAGCATGCGGTCTAGGAAACTCCTCAGCTGCACCGTAGTCTGCGGAACAAAAAGTACATGTATGACAATGACTGTTGACTTACGTTTCTACGTAACATTATTGCACGACACCATTGGAACCTCCTTTGCCAGTAGCAAAATATGAGAATTGTTTTTTTACCCTTTTATCTGGCAACAAACTGACACCTCAAGGACAGTGCATACATTATCAGAGTTATGTTTTTTGTTTGCATTCCGACCGCAGGTATTGTGGTTAATGCAAACATGACTCCTTGTAAAAAAGGTGTCAGTTTGTTGCCAGATAAAAGGGTAAAAAAAACAATTATCATTATTGCACGATACGCTCATGGCCTACATGTGACTTGCATGCCAAACAACATGGAGGTGACGTCTCAATTTGCAGTGGCAAACACAAATTATCAATCGGAACCGCAGTTACGCGATACATGACAACTTTTGTGTCTGCCACAAAAAAAACGAATTAGAATCTGTATTACGTTACAACGGCAGTAATATAATACTTAAGATTTGTGATCACGTTACACCGAAAATTCACGTATTTCTAAAACGGTATTTACATGCAAGTTTGGTTACTTTAAATCGAGCAAAACTGGGAGTTTCAGGAAAAAGCATGAAAGGCAGCATACAATGTCAAAGGACCCTCGTGGTTAATTCTTACAAAGCAACAATGTAAATGAGTGTTAGTGTGGTATTTGACGTAAAAAGACAGGTTCATCCGTAACTGTAACACCGCACATTGTGCACATCTATAAAAAGGTACACAATAAGCCCAAAAGGGACAGGTCAAAACATCGCAATACTGCACAACTATAAAAGCTTAAATAAATGATCATGTACTTCGTCAGCGAAGTCTCACCACATGCTCAAGCTAATTATGAAGAGGATGCCCAATTAGAATGTTCCCCAATTCTTATCCAAGGAATGTTTTGTGTCGCAAGAAACGGGAGTGTCCATAAAAAAACCCAAGCACATTAGGGGATTACACGAATTCACAAAGACAGGTTAAAAGAACCCACGTTGTGCTCCTTTTTCTGGCCACCTTGCACCTGGGTGGGTTGCCAATTTCACAAATCTACACGATCCACCAAACCTTGCCTGTAAAAGGCACTGGATTGCAGAGGTGTGTGCCAGCCACCAATAACATGTCAATACAACGAAAAAAAGAGATGCCTAAACAGTGCTTGGCTTTACCCCTTGGGAGTTCTTGATCTTCGGTGGGATGTTGTCACGAATGCGACGCATGGCTTGTAGTGGTGGCTCATTGAAGTAGGGTGGCTCCCCGTCCACCATCTCCATGACCATCACACCTAAAGACCAGATGTCCACCTACACCGACAGAACATTACAATGCAGCTTGAAAGACAGTGCAGGTTATGCTCTACCAAATGTGCACATGGTGACTGAAACATGTAGCAAATTTTACTTTGAAATGTCATATTGCATTGTTGTTTAGCATAATGGTATCATGTTGGGCTAAATGCGATTAGTATTTATCCAAATCGCCAATCGCTAAGAACAAAAAGGCAATAGCTTTTTTGATTGAGATGTGCTTTAGGTTTAACCTCAGGGCCATAGGGAAGCCTGGATATGACTTCGGGGGCCATCCAGTACGGCGTTCCCACCAACGACTTCCTCCGTGTCACCTCCTTGGACACTTGGGCACAGAAGCCAAAGTCTGAGAGCTTGATCTGAAAAACATATGAAGATAATAAACCGATGTTTTAATTCGTTTACCTTTAAAAAGAAAACTGTATTTGTAAAAACATGGCTCCTTTAAGAACAATTGTATTGCAGACTGCTAATCTTTGGCTGGAAATCAAACTAAGGTGCGCCAGCTTCATAGCATGGTGCAAGGGGACCACTGCTCCACCGCTCCTCTCAATAATAAAAATCTATTCAGGGTCCTGCAATGGGATGCTTTAACAATTCCAAAAATGAGTATTTTACATGTGGATAGCACCAAGGTCCACAGCAATGGGTTTACAACCCCACCTCGCTGTACAGTCATGTCATGGTAACCTTGGACCCAAAACTCCTGCCTCTAAAGTCTTGAATTACAGGCCAGAGAAAAGGTACTGGATGAACAATACAGACACTTGCTGCAAGCTAGAATAAAACTCATTTAAATTTAAATAACATAAACATAAATCAATTTACATAAACAAAAACACAAAATAAAATTAACAGAAACAAAATAAAATGTGGGCACATTTCATTGCGTCACACAAAACACGGCTGCTCGCAAGCCACTCTAACAACCACTTCGGATTGCACTTCAGTGCGGTGGTTGTGACCACGTCTTCCAATTGCCTGCCAACAAAGTGCCATATCAACCATTGCATGTCTAAAATAAATCAGCAAAACACCATTTGTGCGAGTATTACTGGCTAATCCAACAAGACATTACAAAAACCAGATGGCACACTGATGGTTATGCCAATAATCAAACAATTCAGAATATTTAACTATGAAGTTTTACAGGTCTATAATTAACGTCATACGCAGTATTTTTTCCATATGTAAAAACATTCTTGCCATACAGGTTTAATGGTGTCACTAATTAGGTTTCCAGAATCAATGTCAACACAGCCCTTTGGTCAATCTACTGCTGTGGATGAGGGCCACCCCATGCCATGCAGGTGACCGTACTTCACAACACTTGTTATCGAGGGTTGGTGAAGGCAGGGAACAGACATGGAAGCAGCATAGCACAGTACAACAAGAGACCTTGCTGCTGCACTGCCCTCTATTGCCCAGCAAACAGCTCGGCTGGGCAATGCTGAAAAGCAAGCAAAATGTAACATTTGTATGAAGTTTCACTGGAGCTTCCAACCAGCATCATCCAGGTAATAGCAAGAGCTCAGACCTCAAGGTCTTAAAAATGTTGATTGCTTTTCGATAAGAGTAGTCTGCTCGAAAAAAAACGATTGGAACGTGGGTCGATGTGAAAACTTAATTTGTCGGGCTGTGTCAGGTGGTAGATTGTTATAGTTCGAAATAGACATTTTACCTACACGATCAAAACCAAAAAAATTAACTATGACAACATCTCTGTGCATTGTGACCACCCATTCACACACTTTCCAGTCTGAACCCTGGTTAGCTTCTGATATCCGTGATAGCTTACAAAAACGTCTGGTGGACATTCACCCGAACCCTGGCTCACTCATGTACACCAGGGCATTTCTCTTGGGATTCTGCTACCAGCCTATGCCTGTCGCGCTTAGCTCAACCAACTTGTTAAAATAACATGGCCTCCGAAGAGGTCAACGCCATAGACCTTGCCGAAGGGGCTGTCGGGGTGGAAGGGGTGGAGCAGCTCGTGCGGTTGATAGCCCGCTCCACGCCCAGATCCCCACCAGCTACAGCCACACCACCTAAATCGATTGCCCCGTTATATTCATTAATTTCTAACATCTGTCCCTGCCATCTGCCACCCTCTATACACCCCTCAACTTCACGACGTGCAATTCTTTCAAATGTAATCGCACTCCAAAAACGTCCTGGTCTGCCCCTCCCCCAATCCCTCCATCAATCAGATCCATTCACCTAGGCCTCTGGAATTCTCGTTCTGTCTGTAACAAGCCTGCTTCCACCCTGGATGCGTTTTTCTCAAAAACCCTGCAAGCCCTAGCAATTACAGAAACCTGGATATCCACAGTGAACACTGCCACCCCAGCTGCTCTTTTCACATCCCACACAAACTTCATCCATTCCCCACGACCATCTGGCAAGCCTGGTGGCGGCATTGGGTTGCTCTTCTCCTCCACCTGGAATCCCATCGCCTCCACCTGTTGTGCCCTTTCTTTGTTTCCCTCTTTCGAATTTCAACTATCACCTTTCTCTTTCCCCTTTGCAATCTTATTTATAATTCTTTACCACCCCCTGGTCAGCCTTCCTCCATCTTCCTTCCCCATCGACGTCCTTGACTTTAATGTCTCTCACTAGATCTTCCAACCTACACCTCTCGTCTCCTCCGGCCTACTCCTCCGGGTAGGACGCTTGACCTTATCTTCACTTCCGCTTGCTCAGCTTCCCATGCCTTAGTTGACTAACGTCCTCCGTCCGATCACCTATTGCTGACCATGACACTCATATTTACATCCCCCTCTCCATCCAGCCCTTCATCCACCCCTCCACTGAAATCTACACTCCATTTATCACTGTGCACTTAATTCCCTGGATTCCACTAACCTACCGCGCCTATCTGATTTCTCCAATCTCCACCCCGACAAAGCATCATCCCATCCTACATTCCACACTATCCGACTCATTATACACTCTTGCCCCTCTGCTGCCTTGCACCCCTCCAAATAATCCTCCTCGGCCTTGGCTAACAACTGGGCTAAATATTCAACGTCGCCTCGTACACAAAGCCGAGTGAACCTGGAAGACCCTACCCACGACTGATTCCCACTCGTTGTACTTTCCGATTTTAATTCTGCACTGGAGGCCGCTCGGCAATCTTATTTATATCCCTCATTTCTTCCATTTCCGCACACCCTGCTCTGCTATTTTCTACTTTAAACACGCCTACATTCTTCGCCATCCTCAACTATTTCTTGAAGATCTCTCAAAAATATCATCTACCCACCTCAGTGCCTCCCTTCCTGCCAGCATCATACCTACCCCTTCCTCCTCAAATACCTTTTCTCCTGCGTCACTCCCGAAGCTGTCAAACACATCTCCAAAACTCACCCGACCTTTTCCTCCCTTGATCCCCTACCGCCTTCCTTGCTTTCATCTGTCCTCCCTACGATCATCCGGTTCCTCCTAGCTCTCTCCATCTCTTCCCTCCCATCTGCATCTTCCATAACTCCTTCAAAACAGCCATCATTCTACCCATTCTCAAAAAACCTTCACTAGATCCTTCCATCCCTGCACACTAATTGCCCTACTTCCTTGTTTTCCTACTTCTCCAAACTCCTCGAATGACTAGTTCACACTCGACTCACTTCCTACATATCTTCTCACTCTCTCGATCCCCTCCACTAGTCTAGTTTCCATCTGTTCCATTCCACCGAAACCGCTCTCCTCCACGTGCACAACCACTTGGCTAACTCATGTCACTCGGGCCCTTTCATTGGTCCTAATTTCACTTGACCTGTCTGTGGCTTTCGACACCCTTGATCATTCCACCTTCTTATCCACTGTCTAACCTCGGTATCTCGGGCACCCCACTTCATTGGCTCTGCTCTTACCTCACGTGTCGTTCACCCAGTCTCTTTTATCCATGGTTCATCCTCCCCCTCCCCCGTCACGGTTGGCATCCCCCAGAGTTCTGTACATTGCCCTCTCCTATTCTCCCTCTACACGTTCCCCCCCATGAGCCCATCCTTTCTTCTTTCAATTTCTCGTATAACCTATTTACCGACGACACTCAAATCTTCTTTTCCTTTAAGGCTCTTAGCCCTGACCTTTCCGACCACATCTCATCCTGCCTAATGGCTATCCAAGCATGGATGATAGAAAATGTCCTTTCCCTTAACCCTTCGAAAACCACCGTGCTCAACTTTCCCGCCTTGCGCTCTCCTCCTCCCCCCTGCATATCTTTCCCCCCCGCTCAGTCGAACTCCGATCGCTTCCATCCAAATGCTTGGCATCACCTTTGATTCCTCATTTTCTTTCACGTCCCACATCGCCAACACCACTCGGACATGCTGCTTCCATCTTTTCAATGTCAGGAAAATTTGCCCCCTCATCACCATCACCGCTGACAAACTTCTTGTGCACTTTGTCGTCTTCACTCGTCTGGATTATTACAACTTGCTACTGGTCGGTGTCCCTGCCTACACCCTTGCCCCTCTACAACAAATTAAAAACTTGGCTGCAAGCACTGTCTTTAACCTTTAAATCTCGTTGCTCCCCTCCCCTTCAACAACTTCACTGGGTTCCTATCTATCACCGCTGCCTCTTTAAATTTCTCACCTTAGTTTTCAAAGCTTTGCATGGACTGGCCTCGCCTTACCTGTCGTCTCTCATTTCCTTACATGTGCCATCAAGCCTGCTCCTGTCACAAGCTGTCTATCTTCTTGCGGTCCATCCACCCAATCTCCTTCTCTCTGCTTGCCCCCTTACACTGGAACAAACTCCCTCTCCACATCACTCTCGCCCGCGCTTTCCTCTTTTCGCACTGCCCTCAGGTCCTATCTCTTTTCTCATGCCTTTTCCCTTCCTCTTCCGCCACCCCTACCAGAACTACCTAATGCCCCTAGTGCCTCCACCTCGCTCCCTCCACCCTAGTAGGTAAGCATTGTCAAGCATCTTGGTGTAAGGCCCTTGATAAATCCAAAATAGAATAGAATTCTATACAATCGGAACAATTTCAGGTGATTTGGTTAAATCCATAACGGTATCATGTTTGGTTAATTGTGCGTAGTATTCGGCCGGATTGACAGAATAGCTTTATTGATGTGTTTCAGGTTCAACTTTAAAGCCATGGGGAAGCCTTAATATCCATCCTCTAGACATTATCCCAACATCCACACCCTGGCTCCCTCACCCTGCCGTCAGCCGTGAGCAGGATGGAGTCACTTTTGATGTCTCGGTGGATAACACCCTGCCCATGCAGGTAGGCCAGTGCCCTCAGCACCGATACACACACTGCTGAGATCTGCTCCTCGTTCATCCTGCACACAAGCAGACATAAAAGTTAAATGTGAATGAAAAAAAAAACTGCATATTCTTGGCCGAGCTCTGCAACATTGACAATTCAAGGTATGAACACCAGGCTAGTAATAAAGGCAAAAATAATATTACTCAGTCCGGGCAGACAGAACAGAAATGTTATTTATTTATTTATCGATAAATGCTTTGCTGTCTCAAGATACTTTTCCAAGAGGGCCCTGGAGGGAAAATGTTTTGCCAATTAATTTCAGGAACCTTTTGCATTTGATAGGAACCTACGCCGCATGTGAAGGGATCACATATAGGTTTGTATAGATTCAGAGACCCATTTGCTGTACTGCCATCTCCAAATAAACTATACGACCAGCAGTTTTGGAAGTTGCAAAAATCGACGTGATCTGCCAACCCCTGACTACAAAGTACTAGATCAAAGGTGTACACACTATCAAATATCCCCAGGAGCCATAAGACACATTTCATAATTTTTGGCCTAAATTCAAAATATTAGGCATGGGCACTTGTGAATTCAAACAGGTAAGAGAATTAAGTTTATTCAAATGTAAAGATGAACAAAAAGCAACGTTACAACTGGTTAAGTTTAATTTCTGGACGGTGCACCACTTGCAATGCAAACAGATATTAAGAGTAGTGGCTATTATAATAATGCTGGCATGCTCTCCTCTTATGCCCACCTGGTGTGGGTAACGATGTCAGTCAGAGCTCCTCCTTCTAAAAACTCCATGACGACCCACAGCTCATCATCCACCAGATAGCTGTTGTACATGTTCACCACATTCTCATGGTGATACTCCCGCATGATCACCACCTAGCCAACAAACCATCAGAGATGAAAAAACATCAATTGAGTTAATCAGTGAACAAAGCACAGCCCCAGGGCTGGCATGTTCCCAGCTGAGCCCAATTTTGGCAAACATCGAAAGCCGTGTTGGAATTAATGCACAGAGCCTCGTAAGAGCAAACTAATAAACTTCAATTAATGATAATTATGTTTTATTCTGTTAAACAATTGTGTTGTATAAACACTTTCAACAGGCACATAAAACGTCGGCAACCGAAAAATACAATAGACATTGTATGCAGAAATGCCCTTACAAAGACACTATACTGAGAAGCTGTCGAGGTAAATGCAGTGCATTTATGAAGACAGACAATCATTAGACATTATAACAAGAACAATGGCTGAAGCATGAAGACAGATTAATTGTGAACGCATATACGATTTAGACGACGCACCTCATTGAAGAGTAGCTCACGCCGCTGCTGCTTGCGAAGATGCATGCGCTTGACAGCGACTTGCTTGCCAGTGCGTTTGTCCTCAGCTAGACAAACAACCCCCGTCGAGCCCTCCCCAATCTTGATGAAACTTCCCAGGAACTGCGAGGGGTCTCCTGGGTCGACCACCTGCTGTAGCGCTGCTCGAAACTGCTCGTGGGAGATTCGAGGAGGCTGGTGCTGCTGAGACCTGGTGGACCAAAATATATTAACTGAGAACACCTTACATTTAAAAATAATAACAAGACAGTGATAAACTTTAAAGAAAAAAAAGGTTCTCGTCAATATAAACTTACTGTGGCCCTGAATGTGTGCTGTGGTTGTTTTGACCACCTCCTCCAGGCTTTGATAAAGGAGCACCCATTTTTTTTGTTGGGGCACTTGGCCCATTACTCTGGATTACATGCGAGTGATTCAGGGATGACGGCTGCTGATTATGATTGTCATCTGGATGGTGCCGAGACTGCTGCTGAGCAGAATTGCTGGATCCGATGTCCCCCGTATCCAATGACGGCTCAGAATGGTCCACAGCTGCTGGATGTTGCTCATTTTTCCCAGACCCCCGCTTTGCTGATGAATCAAACACTCGCTGACTTTGGCTTTCCGTGATGGACTGCTGTGAGTGAGCACGGGGAGGCCCGCTTCCACTCGAGTCCGATGCACTCTGAGATTGTCGGTCTTTTCTCTGAGACACTCCCTCCATTTGATGATGCGCTGGAGGTCGAGGAAGGGATGTAGACACATAAGAGGTGGGGGGTAGTGGTGGTGGTGATGGTGGCTTTGCTGGAAATGGCTTGTTTGGCTTTGGAAAAGTGGCAGGTGGGCCACTTTTTACTTGAGCAGATTTTTCCCCAACTGTGGGAGGTGTTGGAACCCGGTTGTATGCATCCACATTTTCCACTTCTCTGTCTTCAGAATGTTGAGCATCACTTTTCTCATACTGAAAAACACAATTGAGTTATGAGATACATTATTTTGCAATACTTGCGTTTGCAGTGGTGCACATGCATAACTAACAAAAGCTCACATTCATCAATAATCCTGCCTTAAAAGAAAACAAATATGTAATAGATGACATTTGGGGCAATGGTGATAGAGATTGAGAGAATAATATTTTCAGACTGTACTATACACCACAGGAGGCCCGGATTAAAAATAAAAGGTTTCCAAATTGGTTTATGAAGTTACCCATTACCAGATATTGACAAACCCTTCAAAATGTATGCATAAACTCGTTGGTAATCCAAAAGAAAAATGCATCAAAAGATACTGACATATTGCACCCTTGGGTAACAATGTTGTAGTGTGGAATCTTATTCAATAGTGATCCATGACTATTACTGGGCCTCACTCATTATTAAAATAGGCGTCATTAGATAGGTAATTGCTGTATGCTTGTAATTTAACACAGAAAAAAGGAACTTAACATTTGAAGTTAAGTGTCACTTATTATGTGCCTAAAAATAGTGGTTTAACAACTATACTTGGCAATTGAAAAATTGTCACGATAGAGGCTGCCATGCAATTAAATTATATATCTCATTTATACCGTTACCATTGTTTTTGTGGTGTTTATATTATCTTGTTCACTCCTTTGCCTAAATGTAACAATCGCGTATAGAAAAAAAATACTTTTACACACACGATGCATTGCGAGCCTTAAGATTTGATGATATTCATCAATGTCGCATCATTAGACCTATACTTGTAAGATTAAAAATGCTTCTATAGCATTTAGGAGAATTTGACAAAAAAATATCATGATGATGACAGTATTATTAAATAGACAAAGATCCTCCATATAGCCTTAACAGACTGCAGGGACAAATGCTATTAGCGAACACTTATGAAGGCCGGCACGGCACACAAGGGGGTGGATGGCCTCCACCATGTAGGCCTGCCTTTGTCTCAAGTGCTGGTGTTTACACACCACTCCAGGTACTCATTTGAGGCTGCGTCGACCTAGGGGAGGCCCAAGACCGGTTCAAATAATCGTCACTGTTGTTGATCGCGAGCAGGAATCAAACCCGGGTCACCGGGTTTGTAGCACAGTATTAACCGCTACAACGACCGCTCCCCACCATTATTTTTAAAAATAACCTTGAAGACAAACAAAAACAAAGACTCACCTTCATTGCTGGATGCTGTGAGTGAAGAGAGCCTGACTGAAGCTGTCGGCCTGTAGGGAGGGGTGGCCGGGGAAGCCCTGTTGACCGGGTTGAGGTGCGACTCGGTCGCTCCGCAGTATCCGGCCCCGACCTAGGTCGTTCCTTAGGCCCGGTCGCCACCGGGTGGACCTCGTACGACGATTTGGGTCGACCAGAATCATCCCTGACGCTAACCACCGCTCGGTCCCCGTCTCCGTCATGGAATCGTTCCCTCTCTTTGTTGCGGTGCATCACTCCGGCAGAAGGCTCAGTCATGTGCCACAATTGTGATTCTAAAAGAGGACATTTCATGTAATATATCAATCACTAATAAGTTGTAAAGAAAACTGATCTGTATATATTCTTCAGGTATTTGTAACATCTGATTGTGCTGCATTCAGCTCTCATGGAAAATACATAATATAATTTTCTAAATATGTATTTGAGATGAGAAAAACTTTCAGCACCATGTCTATTCGGCACAGAAATAAAATATAAACATAGGCTTTCGTGACCAATATGATTAGTTTATTTTTTAGTTAGATCCTCCAGCTTACACAGCCAAATAAATAATATTGTCACATGAACGAACACACCATTTGTATTGCTTCAGCACACTGGTATTCACAATATTTAACAATTAGGTAAGAGGTTCCCTGCTGGTAGTTTCAGTCAGCCTCATCAGGCGATTGCCAGAATTGTGAATATCTCCTCCAATCATGGGGCTTGAATTGGTGCTGTGATGATACCGTAAAGTGAACGTTTTAACATAAATAATGATTGTGAATATGATGTGAATATGAATCTACATATACTTGCACGGTGATGCAGGTTGATGATTATTAACTTTATTATACTAAAGAGTGATGCTGGAGTAATACTGTATTATTTATGTGTAACATTCGATAGAGATTGAGCTGTGTTTGCTTAATGCACTTCCAAGCCGCACTCGGCCTGTCGCTGTCAGCTAGGTTTAAATTAAATTTTATTTCTACAAATGTCTACTGATTCCACAATCAGTCTTTGCTAATAGTAAATAGTTCTGCAAAGACTGCTAATGTTATCAAAATCAATAGAATGTCCTTGGTGGCAGGCATGTTCAGCAACAACTATTTGTGTTTTTGAGTATCTGATGTTCATTTGGGGTTCTTTTACTCTTGTGCTCATCTTTCGTCCTGTTTGGCCAACATAGCATTTGCCAAATATGCAAGTAATCTGGAAGAATCCTTGTTATGCTAGTTTGGGTAATTTTGTAATTCATCTTTGGTACACGTCAACACGTGTTGTGACCCGCACAACAGAAATAAAATATTATTTAAATGACATCAGAACAGCCCAATAAACATTATATGCTCAATAAAATGCTGCACTTAAAATACTCATTTCACAAATGTTACTGCTCAAATATATGGTTGTCAAGGACACTTGCATTTATAACTATCGTTATGAATAAGAGTCACCAGCTCGGTTTTGGCTGACCTGGTATCTGTGGGGGCCTCTCTTTTGTGATGGCTACCGGGTAGCCAGGCGGTGGTCTGCCTTGTCCTTTGCGGTTGTATCCCTGTTCCAGCGATCCTTGCCGTCCATTAACCACCTTCGGCTGGGAAATCCTAAAGGCAACATTTAAAAAGTTGGCAAAGTTGAGCCACTCAGTCAAATTAATATACATAGGAATCCATGTGTAAAATATAAACTTACAAATATATATTGTTACTATAGAGGGTGACAGTAAATTTGATTTTTAAAGAAGTTTGGATATATAGAGCGTCAAAAATACCTGTCACTTCGACCAAACCGGCCATCAGTGTGAGTTCCGTCGGTCTCCCGTTCACAATCCCTGTCACGTCTATGTTCGCGATATTCCTCATCTTGCATGATGGTGGTAATAGGCCTGGGTCCAGTACGTATCCTGTCCGAGCCTCGGTACGGGACATCTTGCCGGTCTTCACGAACGCGCAGAGAATTGGAGCGCGACACGGATAGGCTGCTCATTTCAGTTACGATGCTGTCGTTGATGGGTAACTTTTTGCTGCCGCGCACAATTATCTGCAGCAAAATGCAGAAAAAACACATCAGCCCTGTCACCATAAAGGATTGTCCTCATAACTAATGAAATATTCCTAAAGGAAAAACATGTTCTTATGGCCAGGGAAGAAGAGTGTTATCATTAAAACAGTTCAGTTTAAAGGATATTTTTTTTGCAATGCTATCTTAGTTTACTTGAGAACCTATTTTATATTTTTATAACTGAAAGAAAATAAGCTGCCAATTTGTTTTTATTTACCTCCTTTATTGTGGTTTCAACCTCTTAGGATTATTACTTTATGCAGACTTTCATTGTATTTAGCATTTATAAGTTTGTGCCACTTGTTAGTCTATATGCTATATGTACGTATATGGGTTATTCGTAGGCCTATGTTCAAATTACCAAGACTACAGGCCCAATTTTCCCCTAAGGATCCATTGCTAGATCATGGAAACTATGTAAGCCTATGGCTCCTCATGTAAGTATAGATAAAACAAATTGAATTTAAAATTAATTCCTTTGCCAATCCATTTCTGGATGAAGGTTAAGGTTTGTATGTAACTTTACCACACTAGCCAGTGGAAGGTCCGAGGACTGGTTCAGATGTCACTTGTTAGCAGTGGCTGGGAATCGAATTGCAGTGTGCTAAACATTAGACGTACAAGTCCCATTAATTTAATACAACTGTTAAGTTAAAAGCTTTAGAATTGATAGTCAATAATGAAGCAGCAGCACGACTCCGTAACCTCACCTCATGTAGGTGACCACTGCATTACGTCAATTGTCCCACGTACCCTCTAGGGGTATGGATACTACATTGTGATCTCTTGACCTTTTCACAAAATGTTACGAAATAATACTTTTGTAATGGATGACATCAGTGGTTCACAGGCACTTGGAATGTACAATGAAACCTTGGATTGCGAGCATAATGCATTCCGGAAACGTGCTCGTAATCCAAAGCACTCATATATCATAGCGAATTTCCCCATAAGAAATAATGGAAACTCAGATTATTCGTTCCACAACCCAAAAATACTGTATCCATATAAAAATGATTAATACAAAATACCTTTTTATATTTTTATCATTTTAATTTATTATAAAGTAATCTATATTATTAATTATATGTAATCGTGGCTGGTGTGAGAGGTAGACGAGAGAGAGGAGGGTTATTGTGTAGGACGACTTTCACGTGCAGTACAGATACTAAAGAACAGTCACTACACTTGGGACACAAAATAAAAAATGCTTTCCGCACACACACGTGGTCACAACACTATACTGTAGTAAACAGTATACGCTCGCACGGATGTTGACTATACGAGTGAGGCACGCCGACTGAGACCGAGCATGGGAGACGATTACCCACAATCCCGCAGCAAGAGAGAAAGAACCATTGGCTCAGTTGTGATCACGTGACGCTCGGCAGACAAAGCATATACTGTACGTACTGCTCGTATTGCAAGACATCGCTCGTTTATCAAATTATTATTTATTTAAAAATGTTGCTCGTCTTGCAAAACACTCGCAGACCAAGTTACTCGCAATCCAAGGTTTCACTGTATATTGTTTAGTTTTCATGCATAGCGATTTGTAACTGCATGGTGTTGTAATTAATCTAAAGGGTGGTCTAGATGTCTTGTGGGGGGTGGGGTGGTACTCATTTGAGGCTGCGTCGACCTAGGGGAGGCCCAAGACCGGTTCAAATAATCGTCACTGGTGTTGACCGCGAGCAGGAATCAAACCCGGGTCTCCGGGTTTATAGCGCAGCACGCTAACCACTACACACGCGCGTCCATAGGTACACATACACGCGCTTGCTGCAGACACACACAACTTTCACGGTGCGTACGTTCGTAAACGACTCAAATAATAAACCAATGCTGCAAGAAGAACGCCTTAGACCTGCAACACATTTGTATGGTACTTTACTCGTGGAGGGTTGGGGGGGGGATGCGTGACATCAGCAGGCACACTGCGGAACACTTCTGCATGGGCGGGTGACGTCACAGCTCACTTGCCGTGCAAAATATATGCATTATTGCGCCCCCCCCCAAAAAAAATACAAAAGTCTATTTTTATACTTTTTGCATGGTGTACAGTCTTGAAACTAACCACATGTCAAATGTCAAGTTTGTTGCATGTCGGGAAGTATGCTAAACATTTCGAACAGACACATTCACAAATTTCCCTTTTAGATAGATACATCGACATTTTGCGACCCCCACTGCCACTGTGTAGCATATTATTACGTGCCAGAGACTATGAGATGATATGACAATAGTCTGAGTCCATAATTGGCAAAAAGTAACGGCAAAGCAGTTATAAGTGACTCACATAATTGTGCGCAGTTGCGTATACAGTACACGACTTCCCTGAAGGCATACCTTCAGCGAGCCCGATCACACGGTTCGAATTCGACCCTCGATCGATGGTTGCGCCATCGCCGCGCACACGTAAAAAAAAAGCAAGGGACAAGTCCTTACTAACAACTCCTATAATTTTTCATTGCTGGAGGGGTTGCCTCCCTACCTGAAAATCCTGGCTCCGCCATTGCTTGCGACTCCCATATTATTCCCCAAAAATTAATATTGTTTAAGTAAGGTTTATTTAAAACATAAATTAATATGTAAAGGAAAAACATTTTTGGGATCAATTGATTGGAGGGGTCACAAGACATCTGGACCACCCTGTACAATGAAAACTTGGTAAGTGCTTCACTCTCAATGATGTATGAGGCATTATACTACTGCCACGAACAAAGTTTGGATAATGTGACTGGTTTAAGCAGTTGAGCTGGTTTTGCACATCCTGTCTGTGTCAATTGCTCTTTTTCAGCAGCTGAACCAGAATAACCACTATGCTATGCTGGTATACACAATAACCTCTAAAGTAGTTTTCAAAATCCCAGGTAAGGCAAGCAAGTGTAGCTATTCAAGGTCTGTTCTTTGCTTGCTTGACATGAACTCCGGATGTGGTGGAAGTCCAGTCTCCAAGCGGTGTATTATTCACACATTCATTAACTGGCAAGGCAGTCTCAATGTCTGAGCAAATTGTGTTTTATATTGTGCCAGCACTTTTTAAAAGGGTACAATTTATGATCCGCATTTGTTTATGGGCTAGGCCACTTAGTTTTATGCCAATATTCCTGTCATTATCCCTCCGCCACCTGACATAAGTTACATTTACAAAGATATTATTTATACGTGCCAATGTATTTCTCAAATTCTAACCAATTAAGCTCACCATTGACTTAAGGCTTTTTAGTCCTGAATTTCACACCTCTGATTGGCACGGTTGGCTTTGCACAGTGCAAAAGAAGTTTAACATACATCGACACAACATATGTTTCACAAAAAGCACATTGAGCCATATCAGGTAGTGAGCTCGGAAAGTGCATGCTGGTTAGGAAAACCTAACATTTAACGAGACACCTATGTTGCATGCTGATTAACAGTTGCCATTAAAGTTGGGAGAATCTCGTGATCCCTTGGCTGGAATTAAGATTAAAATTATTAAGAGTAGAAAACAATTCCATAGAGCATCATATAATCATGGGAGGAGCTTGGGCTAAGCAAAGCCTGTTATGGTATTCAGGCAAAAAAGGTCCATGAAGACCTTGCCAGCCGAGTGAAATTGATATTGAAACCTATGGCTGATGATTTGAAGCTTTCGTGACTGCAGGAATCCACTCTTTGGTTCTTTCGGTAAAGTCACGTAGGAAGAAAATAAAATAAATCACGACGTTTCGGGCGCAACACAAGCGTCCATCATCAGGTGGGAAAGCATGGTCATGTATGGTCATTTTATTTTTCATTTTATTTTATACCTACGTGACTTTACCGAAATAAACAAAGACTATGGCTGATGCTTATAGATGAAATACATTTCAATTGCGATTCTAGTTAATAAAGTATGGCTGGAATTGTCCACAGTACTGATCAGCAGCTAAGAGTCAGCTATACAGACAAGTGTATAGCCTAGAATATACACAGGGCAGCTATGTGTATATCGAATTCTCTGATTAAATGAATATCAAATATATATAGCCTTGGATACTCAGAATTTTAAATTTTCTAAAAAAATCCCTGTAAAGTCTTTATTAGCCTGACCTACTATCACCCAATCTGTTGGAAACCCATTAAAATTCATGTAGATATTAATTAAGCCCACAGAATGAACACTGTACAGGAATCAAATAATGGTAATATTTAAATATTTTTTCTGCAGACAGAATCCATATATCCTTCCAATGGTAAAGATGGTTCAATGCCTGTAATGTGTGGTTCAAATTTGAAAGCCAATGGTCACAATCATTTGCCAGTAGGTGGTTCTTTGGCCCTATTGTAAAATAAGTATTTTGGCACAATGCATCCTGTTTTAATCTTATTTTCCACACTTAGCCTACAAAGGACCTCAAGTGCATTTGGTTGCCATCATAAGGTACTTTGTTGTAAAACACTAGTAATTTTCTTTCTTTAAAAACATTTAAAACACGTATCATATACAACTGTTTGGAAGCCATATATCTAAATTATAAACCTCTACATAGTAGTAATTCCTACATGAAACAATAAATGTAGAAAAAACTACTGGTACTTGATGACTAAATATAAGAGTACATCAATAAGACTCAGAATTACATGATAAAATGCATGGTCCATTTAACTATGTAATACACAATGCGAAACTCCTGCGCAAACAGTGGCAATAAACCATGCCAGTGCACTGCTTTTATATGTTGATGATACGCATAAACACACATACAGGTCAAGAAGAGACCTTGTATTATGCAACTACAGTACTATTCGTCATCTGTGACATGTTTCAACTTGACGCTGCCAGAAGGGGTACCTTGCATGTCTTACATTCAGCCACAAACTAAATTGTGTGAAGGCAGATGCTTTGGAGAGTGCGAATATAAAGGCGAGCCTTGGGCACGAATTACTCAAAAGGAAGCGACACCCGCTGTGAGTCACCAAAATCAGCCCACTAAACTCAGCTGTTTTTTAGACAGTCCTAAACTATGGTTTCATTCAAAATAAGGTGTTCAGTCCAGTAATCAAATCTGTAAATTATGAGAAACCCCATGAAAACAGAAAAATCAGTGCAGGCCGGAAAATTATGGTTTTTGCATTATGGACAAATTCAGTGAATTTTGTTGTTTGAAACTTCAGTCCAGTGTCATTATAAACAAAGCTTGAAAACAAAAGCCATCCAACTGCAACTTTGCACCATAGTCGCAATACTCTTTGAAAGACAACACATAAGAACCTGGTAAAATGCATCAATCACCCAAGGACTTAGAATAACTAAATCGCAGAAGCATTAGCTTTTCTGATAATCTCTTGATCACACGTGTGTGCAGGCACAGCAGGTTTTTACAAGTAGCAGCCAAAGGCAAAGTGAGGGAATAAATGGGGTTCAAAGAAGGTCCGAGTGGGTGGACCAAAATGTAATGGTTGTTTACATAAAAGATTGCAACAGCTGTTTGCAGCCCTGTAGCATAGTTATTGGCTCCCTTTAATTAAAAGTCATTTAACACGGAAACACAACCCTTTTATAATTTAGATGAAAGCTACGGGAAAACTTTCTAACAAGTTCACACATCTGTACAAATTATATTTTCTCACTATGATACACAGTACTTACCAACCTTTGGTGCTGTGGCATATAATTACATACATAAAAGTACATGTGGGTCAGGATTAAATGACCGTGCATCACCTTCATGGGAGCCAGGTCCACCGGCGTGATGTAAGAGGCGTCCACCACTGGTTTGGGCCGGTTTGCCGTGTCGGCCAAGAGGCTCTGCCATTGTGGAGGCAGGCCGGTGAAGCGGCCCTCCGCGAGGTCGAAGCCGGTGTGCACCCGGTGCTCGAAGTTGCATGGCGCGGAGATTTGAGGCCGCTGCTTTTTCTTTTTGGTGAACATGTTGCACAGTAGTTTCCCACAGCTTAGTCACCAGGGATTGCTTTTCCTTTTCTTGTGGCTTCTCAAGACTGGTTAGTGATGACCTGTTAACACATCAGATCCAGAGCAATCTTTGAGTATGACACCATGTGCATGGCCATATAAGGTGGCAGGCAGCGGCAGCTGGGATAACATTTTGTAATATTAATTCCCAGACGAAACGATTATTACATATAAAAATGACGCCATCATAAATCTGTACAGGATACAATTAATATGTAACATTACATCATTAACGTGAGTTTTGACATCGGTCATTATCATTAACACAAAATATGTACATACAAAGTAGCATGCTCAATTGTCTTAATTAAAATAAAGAGACCCGAGCAAAAGGGCAACGACGGAAATTCAAATTCAGTACCACGCTGAGGATTAGAACCGTTTGATGAAGCTCAGGCTGCAGCAAGGCACTTCTACTTGTTAACTCAATATTGCTTTGTGCCAAAAAGAAAATAGCAAATGAAGGTATACAATTCACAAATGAGGGTTGGTTTTTTGTAGATAATATAATACAGTTTCATCTGATTTCTTTCGACACAATTATAACCAAATATAACGATTTATGCATTTATTCTTACATAACCCAAACTTTGCAAATGCAATTGTCCTATAGCTACGGTACACAATATAACACCCCAAAACGTATGGGGTAACGTCACATTACTCTGTATGAAAATACTGTCAAAATAACCAATATCAGCAGTGCAATTGAAAGTGCATAAGCTGTGCACGAACCTTGCTGCATCCAGCTTGCCACCCACCGAGAAAATGATTTAATGCTTTGGTTTGTGGGTAAACGAGGCTTATAAAAATGCTCTCTTGCACTGCAGTGCGCACTCTCAGTACATAACTGCAATGCTATTTGCCACCGTCGTGTGATATTTTCACAAGCACCCACACACACCGTTATGAGAATTTATTGAAAACCCTGAAATAGGGTGTGCCTGATGTTTGCTTTCATAAGCGGGCTTTAAGGGCCTATTCGTTTTTGCCCCCACTCAATGATTTCTAATAGCCACAAAGCATTTAAAGTACAAAAACAGCGCTACTAAGAAAAGCGTTCACATACCAACAAAATGTGTCACGGCAATGCACCACATTATTTCGTGTTTCTGAGCATCTTTTATTCTTAGAGAGGTATAAATACAATGTGCGTTGCAATGTTTAACAGCTGGAGATGGCATAACATTTGCACGCACACGCCACAGGGTTCGTTTGCAGTCCAAGTAATTTCCGCGGGAGTTACCAAATTTGTACGATGTAATTACAGAACAGGTGATGTTTGCCATTGTGTCAATGTCAAAATTCATATGTTAAAGTTACTGTCAATGCTTAACTATGGCTAGCTACAAACCAATTGTAAAAAATATACAATTTCAGTTAACTATCATCTGCTTAAAAAATATGACCACAATTAACAACATGTTTTCGGTAAAAAGGACAATGTTTATGTAGAAGAGCCTGCTTTTGGCAATCTGTTGGGGATTGTTTGATCACACTGGCAAGTGCAAGTTTTGAGAAAAGAGGTCCGAGGACCATCACTTGCCACTTGTTATCCGTGGCCAGAAACCGAACTCGGGTTCTTAGCGCGGGGCACTAACCACTACACAACCAGAACTAAAATACAGTACTGTACATGGGAATATAGTATTGCTCAGGATACAAAGTAGCGGATAAGTGAAATACATTAAATAAAAGTAGATGGTTTATGGGCCGCTAAGGCGAGCCACAACGAGAGCCCAACACTTTGATATTCGTTGACGATCATCACCAGCCATGACCTAGTCACTGCTGGATAAAGGCATCTCTCGAAGCCGTTGAAATTCCACTTCTCATTGCCTCAGGTTGTGATAATCCATCTCGCTCCGGCTCAAAAGCTGCTTCCATCGCTCCGTCTTCACGGTGGTCATCTTTCCTCAAGGGGCGCGTCGTTCCCTCTTGTTACGGCTGCCAAACCCAGAGTCTCGACCACAGAGGCCATCATCATTATCACCACCCCTCTCGCCACGACGTGTCCTGACCAAGCCCAATTTACTCTTCCTCTGTACAAGCTCGCGAGTCAATGGTTAAACAAATTTTGGTATGATCTGAGTCATGTCATGACTCCGTCTTCCTGGTTCGCAAGTGCAATTTCAGGAATGCGCACGGTTTAAGAGAAAAACACAAAACTAAACCACTGCACAGGCTATATACACGTGCGGTCGAAACATTACACGTTCAATGATAATCGTTGTTCACAAACAATAAGACACTTTGAATTGGGCCACTTTAAGACACCGCGACCAATCTAATCCGTACCAGGCATCATCACTGAACGCCATTAGAAAAAAATACGGAGCTCACAAAAGACGCGCGACAAGTATAACTAAAAAAAAGCCCCCCCCATTAACAAGTATTCGGGAAACAATTACAACATCTGACGGAAAACAGCACGGGTTCGAATCACCTTAACCTACGGCAGCCAAGTTGTAAGTGCGAGGAGTCGAGATCCCCGTCGCTCGGGAGCGAGGCATCGCCTCCCCTCTACAACCTGGCCATCGTTTTCAGCCGTCACAAACCACCGTCGCACCTCGAGTAGCGCATCCGCACAACTTTTCGGCACGATCTACCACTGTTAAGGGTCACCCGTTAGGCGTGTTAACGCGTACGAGCAGCGACACGGTGTTAGATCGATTAAAAAAAAGACCACAGGCCCAGTCAACGTCGAAACGAGGAGCGGATCAAACTTTTTTTTCCCCCTCCCCACACCGAACACGCAAGAAGCTGCGCAAGCAACGCACCTGCAGACGACAAACTCTGGGTGCCTCGCGGCCTCTAACACGAGCCCAACGTCGACTCGCGTTCGCTCCTCGAGCGTTCCCTTAAATCTCCACCCCTTAGCTCATCGTCGGTGGACGTCTTTGTCGTCGTTCTTTTGCCGTCCTTCGTCCGACGCAACTCGCCACACCGAGACCCCAGTCAGCCTAAGCGGGAGGTGGGGTCGCCATGTTCGCGGGCGGGAGGGGGGGGCGGGGGAGAGAAAGGGGGAGGGGCGGAGCGGGGCGGGGCGGGAAACATCCGGGCACTCGCGCAGGTGCCTCGAACGCCAACCCCTCCCGGTGCGAGGTGACGTTCGTCACGGCGCGATGACGGTCGCAGCAGCCGCCATCTTTCTAAGGGAATTGCGACCCTTTTCAGCAATGTGGGTGACGTGTCAACCTTTGCTGACGTCACCTTCCCCTTCGTCATGCTCTATGTTGATTCCAACCCACCCTCCCTACGCAATATGGCCGATATTGCCCCGCCCCTGCCCCCATCCTGCCCTTGCCCCCCACCTCGCCATCCTTGCGTGCCCGTTGGGGTGGCAATGAGACGGCGGCGGCAGGGGGTGGGGCCCAGCCGATAATCTTTTGTAAAAATCCCCATAAAGGGCGATTGGCTGTTGCGGTGCACACGTGGTTACAACCACGTGATTACGCGGAGGCAAAGTGGCCCGCTTTTCCAATCGCAGCCCAAGGTTTTTGAGCCCCGTGCCCGGTGGGGTGTGGGGTAGGGGGTAGGGGTGGAGGGTAGGGGTGGGGGGCTTCTTGAGGCTCGCCCCCAGCGTGCGATGTCCACTCAGAGTCTCGTGGCAAGGGCTCAATGCTGCTGCTGCTGTTACTGCTGCGTTGGCCAAGTGGCACCACAATAAGTAACGGACAACAGCAACAACTCCGCACGTGTCGTGTCATGAACACGGTAGTCTTAACAACAACAAAAGGAAAATAACATGGCATGCGACTTCAATGGCCCTTTCTTCATAGCCCTTCCACTTTTTTGTATTGCATCGTCGGTGTTTTTTTTATGGAGATGGGTAATTGCCTGAAACGTTGCCGCATATTTGTCTTTTGATTTTTTTTGTTTAATGTTTGTTGTGTTATATTAAGGAGTAGGTAGGGCGCGGGGGGCTTCTGAGTAGTGGGTGGAACAGTCCGCTCTCCATGCGTACCAGTTGATGCAATATTAGATATTACTCTGGCTGTCATGCGGCTAATTCACATTACAATCCCATACCTGTCAACCCCTTAGCAGTGCCTACTTTATTACAGACCAATTCAGATCTCATTGGTCACTCCGTGCCCCTTATAAATCTCAACGTTCATCCTACAAAGTCTAATCACAAGGGAGAAACGCAAACAAATAGACAAAATAATTGTGCCCGTATTGAAACGGCTGTACGCCGTATGGATATGAAAACTAAATTTCCCTTCACAAGAATAGGGGTAAACCGTGATGGGTTTACAGGTATGCAATCCATATCCCCAAGAATTGTTTCAATTACATTTGCCATTGCCAGTTTTATCAATGCCAAACAATGTGATATTTTGCTTAATGTATGTTTATCAGAGCTTTTAAAATTCAACAAAAAATATAAATCCACTTAAAATATCTGCCCTACTCAAGACCCTCTATAAAAATGCCTTTTGGAGATACTCATCTACTGTATATGTTAAATATGCATCTACAGTGCAATAATTAAAAATGCAGTGTGCTTTATATAATCGATACAATTATTTCACTAATGACATTTTCCCTCTTGGTGTCGTCTTCGTTTGCAGAGTTGTTTAATTCCTAATCGCCCCAACTGATTGAGAAAAAAAATCTAAGTTTGCCCACTAAATAACTGAACATTTGTATTATTCGGAGAACAAAACAATACACATTTTGTAAGACGTGAAAAGCTTACATTCTTAAACATCAGTGGTTTGGCAAGGTGATTTTGAAACGTGACCAAATATTTCATTGGGTGGAGCACATCACGTAATTCCACTGCAGGTCATTTCGGGTCTGTTTTAGAGTAAACATTTTGAATCGCTCTTATTCAACCCAAGGCATTTCCAAACCACTTACTGTATTTGATACGCTGTCCACCTGTTCACGGACGACATTTACGACTGATGTAATTGCAGCTGTACAACTCAATCAGGGAACGAGAGAGCCGAGCACACAGCTGAGATTTCAATGTGATGGTGGGATGCGATCATATTACGGGTCATGAGGGGCCGGTAAGACAGCACCCCAAGAGTGAAAGACTTTTACCAATCTGCACACATCAGCGTGGTGAAGTATGGTCAAATAAACCCAATGACCGGCACGGCAGAAAGAGGTCATAAAATAACACTATGTAACACAATTTTTGTTCCTGGGTAGTAAGTGTTATTTCGTAATTTCTTATGCTTAAAAAGTATAGAAGGTGCCTATTATTCCTCACAAATTTGCTTTTGTGACCAGGACAGTGATATTTTAAAATGTACATATTTTAGATAAGAAAACGGGCGAATTTGTGTCTTTTCGTTATACTAAAGTAAAACAAAATTTTCTACAAAAGATTTAGAGTTGAGTAGTTTTATACTGGTAGGAACGAAGTTGTAAACTGAGTGTACCAGCCTGCAATAGATTAATGTGTCCGTCCGTCCGTCCCCTTTCAATACTTTAACGAAGTGAAATCTCGTGCTGTTGGGTGTAAAATCAGCAATAGACAGCGCAGAGACTTGTCCTACCAGCCCACCCTGCAGGGACCTGTTAGAGATTTACGATTATACTGTAAATCTCTTTCACGAATCAGCCCCCAAATGTGGTCTCCCATTATGTTCTCGTTACACTTTCCTTGGTAGCGGCGTTCAAAGTCCAGTATATCCTGGTGGAAGCGCTCGCCTTGCTCTCCGAGTAGACTCCCATGTTCTCCTTGAATTTATCAAGATGAGCATCATGGATGTGGACTTTGAGGGACAGCCTTCAGCCCATTGTGCCGTATGTCTTCACCAGTCTCAACCAGCTCCACATAGTTTTCGACCTTGTGATTGCCCAGGAAGCCACGAACCATTGCGACAAAGCTGTTCCAAGCCACTTTCTCTTTACTAGTGAGCTTCTTGAGTAATTCATTGCACTCCAGGATCTTTTTTATCTGTGGTCCGACAAAGACACCGGCTTTGAACTTTGCCTCAGACAGCTCAGGGAAGAAGTCTTGAAGGGACTGGAAGGCTGCCGACTCCTTATCTACAGCTCCGACAAATTGTTTAATAAGGCCCAATTTGATGTGCAGTGGTGGCGTCAGCACCTTCCGGGGGTCCACCAGTGGCTCCCACTTGACGTTGTTCGTCCCCACAGAGAACTCGGTCCGCTGTGGCCAGTCCGGCCTGTGGTAGTGTGCCTTGGTGTCCCTGCTGTCCCAAAGGCAAAGATAGCAGGGAAACTTGGTAAAACCGCCTTGGAGACCCATCAGGTATGCCACCATTTTGAAGTCTCCGATGACCTCCCAGCCGTACTCATCATTCTTCAAGGCGTCCAGCAAGGTCTTGATACTGTTGTAATCTTCTTTGAGGTGCACCGAGTGAGCCAGGGGAGGAGACGGGTACTTGTTACCATTATGGAGCAGCACGGCTTTGAGGCTCCTGGATGAGCTGTCAATGAAGAGGCGCCACTCATTCTGGTTAAAGGCGATTCAGATTGCCTCGAACAGACTGATCACATTGTGGCAAAAGCAGAGCCCATCTTGACAGGTGAAGAAGCTGCAAAAAAGTTGGTGATGCTTCCTCTAATCTGCGACTTGCACACTTTTATCCAACAAGTTCCATTGCTTGAGTCGAGATGTCAAAAGTTCGGCATTGGACTTGGTGAGACCAAGATCTGTGATCAAGTCGTTGAGGTTTTTTGGGTTGGGGTAGTATGGGTTTCTCTCCTCAGCTCCACCTCTGAAATTGTCATCTGGGTCTACAACGTCTTCCACGCTCTCTGACTTGCTGCTCTCTTCTAAAGACGGCTGCTCTCTATCCAGAGGAGTGGGTACGGGGAGCTTGCTTGAGTGGTCAGTGGGTTCCCACCAATTTCTTGGGATAGCGAACTTCATGTCTTTCTTTTCCCCTCTGTACCATGCTACAAAAATACATTCATTTCACCAATGACTAATGTGTAAAAGATTCTCGCAACATTTTTCATATATATATTTTTTAAATAACATTGAAAATTGTAAAATATGTAAAAATTAAAACTTTTACATTTTTTTAATTAGTACTAATTTTATAACATAAAATTCCGAGCAACAATTGTCCATCTTACCTTCCAGAGTTTTTTTTGCATTGCTCGCAGGTAAAATGAGGTGCCCAGTGTTTGTCTTGATCCCCAACAGGCATGCCGAAATATGCCTTGTAGGCCTCACGCATCTTAGCAGATACTTTTTCGCTATTGTCTTGATAAATTGGCTGCAGACAGAGCAAAATGCGTCTGCCGGATGCTTGCAGCCTCTTGATGCGATCTGAGAAAAATGCAGATATTTATCCACTTAGACAGCTGGAACTAAACTGAACTGATGGGCTTAAGGCCCCTGTATTTATACTACTTTTTATATTACTGGAAAGTTTTAGAATGTTCTGGAAGTTACTCCAATTTTACTCAGCACTGAATCTATCTGTTCTGTAAAATAGGTAAATTTCAAAATATCGTTGTCTTGGTCACAAAAGCGAAGTTTGTGGGGAATAATAGCCATTTTCTGTACTTTTGAGGCATAAGCAATTAGGAAATAACACTTACTACCCAGGAACAAACAAAAAATGTTACACAGTGTAATCATGAATTGACAACTGAAAATAATAGTTGAACACAAAACAGGTGATATTACCTTCATACATTATATGTTCATTGAAATAATCACTATTACTAATAATCTATGCCTCGAGTTTCCTGGATGGCTGCTGGTTGGGCTGCTCTCCGATTAGCACCGTTGGCTACGTACTGTGCGAAATAAGTTCAACATACATACTTTCCACCCTGCTACAACTCACAATAACTATTGTGGTAAGTGTTGTTATTGGCTGCGGGCCGTTGTTACCGAAACGGGCTGGGTGACTGGCTAAACGGGATATTCCGTGTAACAAATAAACACTGAAATGAGATCAAACGGCGGAAGGAGTTCGGAAGAGATATCATAGTGACAGCAACGTATTGGAACAACCTTGTTTATTCCCTTAGCATCGTAAATCTTCCTTCAAAAAAACTCCTGAAGCAGAAAATTAGTG